GGCCTCCCAAAGTGCTGGGATTACAGGCTTGAGCCACCGCGCCCGGCCTTCTTCCTCTTCTTATAAGACCATCCTCCAATCCTATCAAATTAGGGCTCCACCCTTATGACCTCAGGTAACCATGATTACCTCTTGAAAGGCCCTATTTCCATTTGTAGTACATTGGGAGTTAGGGCTTAATATATGAATTAGAGGTGAGGGGTGCATAGTTCATTCATAATAAAGGATAATGTAGATGTTCTACCTCAAGGTCTAGAGACCTTCTATTTTTTCAGTTTTAAATATGAGGTATAGACCCATTTTGTTAATGTGGAAAAATGTTCATAATATATTGTTGAATGACAAAAATCAGGTTTATTCTTTTTCTATTTCTGTTATCCTGTCATTTCCTCCTGTTTGATGATGGTTATTTTAAAATAAGATACTTTGATTCTTGGAAATGTCTTTGGAAATTCTTGGGAATTTTTATCTGTTTTGTTTTAATATTTTCCCAGATATTCTCTCCCGTCCTCCCCACCTCCCCTGTTCCTCTCCTCTCATCTTCCCCTCCCTTTCTGGTCTTGTTGTGTCACCCAAGTTGGAGTGTAGTGGTACAGTCTTGGCTCACTGTAGCCTTCACCTCTGAGGCTCAAGTGGTCTCACCTCAGCCTCTCCAGTAGCTGGGATCACAGGCATTTGGCTGACTTTTAAATATTTTCATGGAGGTGGTGTCTTTCTATATTGCCGAGGCTAGTCTCAAACTCCCGGGCTCAAGTCATCCTCCCTCCTCAGCCTTCTAAAATGCTAGGATTATAGGCATGAGGTACCACGCCTGGCCCTAGGTATGTGTTTTTTGTCTGCCATTTGTTTTTCCTGTTTTCTCTGTCCCTTTTCTTTGAGTATTTTTATATGACTGTTGACTGGCTTCTTTGTGCCCCTTACTTGTCTTTGAATGAGCAGAGTTCTTCCTGGACTAATGGCGTGTGGGTAGGCTGGGGAGGTCTTGGGGGAAGCTGTGCTCTGCCCTGGCCTCTTCCTTTGCTGCTGGACTGACGGGTGCTTGCCCTGACCTTGCCTGCTTTGCCACCCTGTGGCTTCTCACCCTGGGCCTGTCCCGAGCCAGGGCTTGCTGCTCCTCTGGCCCTCCTGTGCTGAGACCCGAAGTCACCAGTTCGCCTTTGGTGTCCTCACTTGTCTTGGTTGTGTTTTCACAACCCTTGGCAACTTGCTTCTGGGATATTCAGTTTCAGGGTTTTTAGGTGTTATGTTATCAAAGATAGAGTTTCTTTTTCTGTAACTTGTTCTTATTTTGGGTGGGTAATAAGAACAGAAGCCTTCAGAGAGATATTTACTCTGCTGCTTCAAAGCTTTTAAGGCTCACAGCCAGATTTCTTTAATCACTTCGGGCATCCTCTAGCTGTAAAATTAGGGAACTGTATAATGTCCTTGCTAACATACTTTCAGGTTAACCTGTTTATGGTTCTGATGTATTTACATGAAATTTGGGTAAACACTAAATATAGTGAATGTTTTCTTACAGACAGAACCTCCACTCAATACACCAGAAAACAGAGAGTATCTTGCAGAAATTATGTTTGAATCATTTAATGTACCAGGACTCTACATTGCAGTTCAGGTAAAAAGTTATTTTTGTGATTCTCAAAGCTCCTGAGCTGTCTAGTAGTGGAAGAAATGGTAACTCCCAAGGTTCTTTGCTGAAAGACTGTGCTGTGGGCTCTTCCTTTTTTCACTCCCTCTCCCCCGCTCCCCGCCCCCACCCCCACGCCATCCAGGACCATAGAGAACATGTCCCATGACTTTTCTTTTTATATTTATGTCATTGGTATAGACGTCATCTGGCTCTTTTTACATGCATTAAAGTCGAATGCATTTTTATCTGAGTGACAAGATATGGGTGCTGTTTCTTTTGACATCTTTGACTGACTTTGATCAGAAAAACAAATACCTTTAGAGGTTTCCCCTATCTGATTTTGGATTTGGGGCTCTTATTTGTCCTGGTGTACTATCTTGCTTCTGAGGGACCTTGTGTTTTCATGAGCTTGCAGAACTTGTTCTGAAGCTGCGGGTTTTTGGTGTGATGTTTTTTGGTTGCATTTGGTCATTATTTGCCTGCCACCTTATGTAAGGGGATTGACCTAAATTTATTATGGAATAAATAAAATGGGTGTTGCCCAAATGTTTTCTGCATAATACTAGTCACTTCTAAGGAGGAGGTGGAGGAAGAGTTCCATAGAGAAATGAATTTGGGTGGTGCTGCATCCTGCAGCTTTCTTGTGCTCATTCACAGTGCCTGTCAGCACAGTCCAGGCTCTTGAGGTTTCCTGTGTTGAAATCTATGTATTCTAGCACTTCCAAATGCATTTAACTCCAAATCTTCCCCTGCCCAAGTTATTTATATTCCATGGGATAGGAGACATAAGACTAGTGGTTCCCAAAGTGGTCTGTGCATCAAGTTTACCTGGAGAATGTTTTTTAAAAGTACAGATTTTGGCCGGGCACGGTGGCTCAAGCCTGTAATCCCAGCACTGTGGGAGGCCGAGGCGGGTGGATCACGAGGTCAAGAGATCGAGACCATCC